GTGGTGGTCTTCAGGTCACCAAGTGGAACAGGCGTTTACGAAGGCACATGACGTTGGAGCAGCGGGCTTCGGAGAACGAAGGGGACAGGAGGAATTATGGCTCTCCGCCACAGTAGCCTCCCAAACTGCACATCGCTGTTTCACCAAACCCGAGATAGGATCACACACTGCTATCAGACAAGTACGTAGGGGAAGCCAATTTTATCATTTGATGATTCTGCGAAAGACGCAATGAATGTCCAATTTCGCAATTTTTGAGTGACGCTCCAAGAACTACTGGAGCCCGCGATTGAAGGTAGGCATTAACGCAATATCTGTCCAGACATTCTTGCCCGTCTATGCGTGCCATACACGTGCTGATACCTCAGAGACCACGAGACTGGATTACACGGCGAAGGCTGCTTGAAGACAACAGTCAGGAGCAGCTATTACAGCTTCATTCTATTTCCGGAGGACTGAGTATTTTCGTCAACTGGTGGTCTTCTATGCTTCAAGTTTCAGGTCGCCGTGATCACTAAAGACCTTGTTACACTAAGGCGAGAAGAGGTTGCGCAAAATCAAACCTCATTGTCTACTGAGGATGAGATCAAGCCCAGGAACATTAAAATCCCTTCTCGCGCGCTGCATTCCTGTTTATTCCTTATTTATGACTATCGCAACAGCATCGCCCGTTTTGGGGCTCAGAATCATATGAATTGTTTTAATTAATGAACAACTCCTTCGTCATGTATCCAAGTGTTTTATGAGCTGTAATTGTCTCTTGTTGTATGGAAATTATGTTGTGAGTTTCAATTTCTGTCGCGTTACTGGGCTTCCTTAAACTATTGTAATCGCAAAACGGCATCTGAACGTTCCATTTCACAGTTAATTTATTTGGAGACCTCACCCGCCAGACACAACCCAACCTATAAAAACCAGCAGTTATGTAACATTTTAATGTGAACTTAGTCTCTATGCGAGTCTGGGAAACCGAATTCCTCGCTCAGCATTGGCTTCACATCGTTGGCCCGTTCATACTGCCTACCCTGCTCTCCTTGGCTGTGGTCGGCCTCCTGCATTATTTATTTTTTTGTTCTGCAGCTTGGAGGCAAAGGCCATCGCTGCGGGGCTTTTGCCGCCTTCAATGGATGAATTGGATCTGGCTCAAACCCTTGCCTCCGCCGTCTATTCCTCTCACTCAACGCGTGCATCGAAGGTTGTGGAGGATGAATTGTGCGCTCATTTGGCCTCGTAGGTTTCACGCACCCACCCTCCTCCCCAGTCCTGAACACTCAGTTAGGCTGCAAAGCTCCCAATGTTTTTTTTATAGAGAACCATTTGTTCTTATATGCTTTATATGTTTGAAAGGATAACTTTCCTCACATGTTTTAGGCTTCCACAAATGCTTACTCAGGCATACGTCAGCTATGAGGCGCATTACGTCTTCCGGTACTG